TGACTCTTAGCCCCAAAGCTAGCTCAGTTCCTGGAACATAGCAAGAGCTCTTTAAAAGATGTTGTTATAATATCTTTTAAATTGTGAGATATGTTTTGGAATTGGTGGCTTAGGATTTTTTTTTTTTTAATGGAGGCTTTACCCTCTCCTCCAGGCAGGTTTTTTTTTTTTAATGAAGCACCCACAAGTTTGGGGAGTGGGAGGGAAAATACTGCATTGCAGGTTTAGCTTCTTAATGTTTTTTTTTCTTTTTCTTTTTCTTTTTTTTAGAGATGGGGTTTCACCATGTTGGCCAGGTTGGTCTTGAACTGCTGACCTCAGGTAATCCACCCGCCTTGGCCTCCCAAAGTGCTGGGATTACAAGTGTGAGCCACCACGCCCAGCCTACTTCTTAATGTTTTAAAAGTCAATCACCAGCCAGGGACAGTGGCTCTTGCCTGTAATCCTAACCCTTTGGGAGGCTGAGGCGGGTGGATCACCTGAGGTCGGGAGTTCGAGAACAGCCTGACCAACATGGAAAAACCCCATCTGTATAAAAAATACACACATTAGCCAGGCGTGATGGTGCATGCCTGTAATCCCAGCTACTCCTGAGGCAGGAGAATCACTTGAACTGAGGAGGTGAAGGTTGCAGTGAGCCAAGATCATGCTGTTGCACTCCAGCATGGGCAAGAAGAGCAAAACTGCATCTCAAAAAAAAAAAAAAAAATTAATCACCAGACACAGAATTAATCTTCTCAACAGAGCCCTGAGCTGAGCTATGGGAAAGGAAAGTAGGATGATAATGATTCTGGGCACCTCTCAGCTTTTTCCTGGGTACCAAGGTTGACCTTGCCAGAAGTAATGGAAGCTCCACAGCAGCCCTGGAAGGCAGGTGGGTCAGCCACTGTTTAGGGGAAGAGATCTGAGACTCAGAAAAGGGAAGCACTATGGGAGGCTGAAGCAGGAAGATTGCTCAAGGCCAAGAAGTCAAGGCCAGCCTGGTCAACAAAGCGAGAACCTGTCTCTGCAAAATTAGCCAGATGTGGTGGCATGCACCTATAGTCCCAGCTACTCGAGAGGCTAAAGTAGGAGGATCACTTGAGTCTGGGAGGTCGAGGCTGCAGTGAGCTACAATCGTGTCACTGCACTGCAGCCTGGGTGACAGAGTGAGACCCTGTCTAAACAAAAAAAGAAGAAGGAAAAAAGAAAAGGGAAGGGATTTGGCTAAAGTTATACAGAAAGGCTGGGATACAGCAGAGATTAGAGCCCATTGCCCTAGTCTAAGCCAAACTCTTATTTGTGTCCTGCTGTCTCCCACCTCTGGCACCAGCCACCTCCTAAGCCTTATCTACACTGCCCTCCACACTCCAGCTAGCTGGTCTTTTTGCCTTCCTCCAACCATGCCTTGCACTTTCTGACTTCTAGGCCTTTGCTCCTGCCTCTGTAGCCACCAGGAATGCCATTTCTCCCAACTCTGACTATGAAACTCTTCCCCTTAATATAGATACCCATTGGAACAAAATGAGGCCGTTAAGAATGATGTGGTACTGGCCAGGCACAGTGGCTCTAATCTCAGCATTTTGGGAGGCCAAGGCAGGAGGACTGCTTGAGCCCCGCAGTTGGAGGTCACCCAGGCAAAGTGAGACATCTGTCTACAAACATTTTTGAAAATTCATCAGGTGTGGTAGTGGATGCCTGTAATCCTACTTAGGAGGCTGAGACAGGAGGATAACTTGAGCTCAGAAGTTTGAGGCTACAGTGAGCCATGATCATATCATTGCACTGTAGCCTGGGTGATGGAAATACCCTGTCTCAAAAAAATTGATGTAGGAGTGATTGATAGAACATTGTCCAAAATATATGAAGTTGAAAAACACTATAAAACAAATTCATACATAATCATAATGACAACTTTTTTTTTTTTGAGACAGAGTCTTGCTCTGTTGTCCAGGCAGGAGTGCAATGGCTCAATATCAGCTCACTGCGACCTCTGCCTCCAGGGTTCAAATGATTCTCCTACCTCAGCCTCCCATGTAGCTGAGACTACAGGTGCCTGCCACCATGCCTGTGTAGTTTTTGTGTTTTTAGTAGAGATGGGGTTTCACCATGTTGGCCAGGCTGGTCTCAAACTCCTGACCTCAGGTGATCCACCTGCCTTGGCCTCCCAAAGTGCTGGAATTACAGGCATGAGCCACTGCGCCCAGCTGATAACTTTTTATAAAGTGTGTGTGTGTGTGTATGTGTATGTGTGTGTGTGTGTGTGTACACATTCTGCCTTGCTAGCTCCTTCCTGGGCCTTTAATGAAGCAACCTGTCTGCTTCCCTTGCAAGGCTGTGAATGCTCCCAGGACAGGGCAGGACCTGTTTGCTGAGTTAACTTGGAAGAAATAAGTTGTATCTTTCCATGCAGGGCATGGGGAGTGAGTATAAGTGGTCTCAGCATTCTTCTTGCTAACCCCAGAGCACCCAAGGGCTGCCTGCCAGGCCCCATGACTTCAGCTGGGGTCATACCAGATGTGGGCTTACACTGGTTCTGCCCTGTGGCTCACCTCACCCTGATTATCCAAGGGCCCCTAGCCCCAGGAACCTCAAGGCTTGCCCACATGCCAAATACTGAAACCCAGAAGCACACAGAGGAGACAAGGAAATTAGACTTCAAGATTTCTGGGGTGGGGCCAGGCATGGTGGCGCGTGACTGTAATCCCAGCACTTTGGGAGGCCAAGGCTGGAGGATCAGTTAAGCCCAGGAGTTTGAGATCAGCCTTGGCAACATAGCAAGACCCTGCCTCTACAAAAACAAACAAACAACAATTGACTGGGCATGGTGGTGTGACCTGTAGTTTCAGCTACTTGGGAGGCTGAGGTTGGAGGCTCACTTAATCCAGGAGCTTGAGGCTGCAGTGAGCTGTGGTCATGCCACTGCACTCTAGTCTGGGTGACAGAGCTAGATCCTATCTCAAAATAAATGAACAAATAAATAATTTTTAAAATTACTGGTTTATTATATAGGATTCAAATGAACAACCAGAAGAAAAGGTACATAGGACAAGGTTTGAAAAAGCTTCAAGAGTCCGGGTACAGTGTCTCATGCCTGTAATCCCAGCACTTTGGGAGGCCGAAGCAAGCAGATCACCTGAGGTCAAGAGTTTGAGACCAGCCTGGCTAACATGGTGAAACCCCATCTCTACTAAAAATATAAAAATTAGCTGGCTGTGGTGGCGCACACCTGTAATCTCAGCATCTTGGGAAGCTGAGGCAGGAGAATCACCTGGCGGAAGACGGAGGTTGCAGTGAGCCGAGATTGAGCCTCTGCACTCCAGCCTGGGCAATAGCAATAGCGTAAGACTCCATCAAAAGAAAAAAAGCTTCAAGGGCAGGTGTTTCTGTTCCTGTGGAGTTGGAGGATGCCACCTTCTAGACACCTGGATACTTTCACCAACCTGGAAGTTCCCAAGATTTTTTTGTGACTAAGTTTCCAGTTTCTTTCTTTCCTTTTTTTTTTTTGAGACGGAGTTTCGCTCTTGTTACCCAGGCTGTAGTGCAATGGCATGATCTCAGCTCACCGCAACCTCTGCCTCCTGGGTTCAAGCAATTCTGCCTCAGCCTCCCGAGTAGCTGGGACTACAGGTGTGTGCCACCAAGCCCAGCTAATTGTTGTACTTTTAGTAGAGACAGGGTTTCACCATGTTGACCAGGATGGTCTCGATCTCTTGACCTCCTGATCCACCCAGCTCGGTCTCCCAAAGTGCTGGGATTATAGGCTTGAGCCACCGCGCCCGGCCTTAAGTTTCCAGTTTCTATTTGGAAAACTGAATGTATTTTCTGGATTAAACTTCCATGATGAAAAAAAAAAGAAAAAACATAATAAAAAATTTTAAAAATAGACTTCCATAATGAACAATGCTCAGGGTTTTAATTTTCGCAGTTAATGTCATTGCTTAACAAAAAGATGTTTTTGTATTCTGAGATGGGGTCCCTCTGTGGCCCAGGCTAGAGTGCAGTGGGGTGTCCTTGGTTCACTGGAGCCTTGACCTCCCCAGCTTAAATGAGCCTCCTACCTCTGCCTCCCGAGCAGCTGGGACTACAAGAGCCACCACACATGGCTAATTTTTGTAAAAAGGGTTTTGCCATGTTACCCAGGCTGATTTTGAACTCCTGAGCGTAGGCAGTCTGCCCGCCTCTGCCTCCCAAAGTGCTGGGATTACAGGCATGAGCCACCATGACTGGCCAGTGGTTTTTGTTTCCACTCATACCTTTTTTTAGTTTTAAAAGTCATGGCTGGGCATGGTGGTTCATGCCTATAATCCGAACACTTTGGGAGGCCGATGCAGGCAGATTACCCAGGAGTTCAAGACCAGCCTGGCCAATGTGGTAAAACCCTGCCTCTACTAAAAATACAAAAATTGGACAGGTGTGGTGGCGGTTGCCTGTAATCCCAACTACTTGGGAGGCTGAGGCAGGAGAATTGCTTGAACCCAGGAGGCAGAGGTTGCAGTGAGCCAAAATCATGTCATTGCACTCCAGCCTGGGCAACAGGAGGGAAACTCCATCTCAAAAAAAAAAAAAAAAAAAATCATTCATGCTCACTGTAGAACATTTGGTTGGAAACTTCAAATGAGTAGAGAAGAGGTCACCCCCCAATACTTTGTAGAGAAATGCATCGTTACAATTTGGTTTATTTAGCTTTATCTTTCCTTGGGTACAGTTTGACTTTGTTTCCATTGTTGCTAAATAAACAGAATGATGCTTTCTGATTTACAACTTACAGAGCTGATTTCATGTACTTCTAACAAGCTTGTGATGGTTCCAACAATTATGATACTTCGTCCCCTCTGGGAACTGCATGGGTGGGGCACATCACCCTGTCCTGTGTTCTCCTGATGCTTTTTAGAATGCTGGTTTCACAGCACCATGGTTAGCTTTAAGCAGTATCTTTGTGATCATATAGATCATTTCAGGCTTTCACATTGTCCTAGAACCTAACTCTTTTTTTTTTTTTTTTCTTGTTTAAACTCCAGAGCTTCTGAACATGTCCCTGCTCCGTGAGCCCACAGTGATCTGTTTTGCCTGCTCCCAATTTATGCATTCTTCGAGTCTTGGTAACCGATGATTTGTCTGTTCAGGCTCTAAAGGATCAGCTGGACAGGAACCAAAGTTAGGTAGCTCGGGATGCGTCAAGGTGAACCTGGGAAAACCGTGAGCTACTGTGCTGACCAGACTGCTTTTCTGAATCAGCTGAAACTTCTTTATGTCCCTAGTTTTAAAACCTCCTTGGAGGCAACTCAAAATCCAGAATCTTTTCAATTATTATGAGGGGAGTTCTGAAGCTTTGAAAAGAGCCAGAATGCCAAAGGCGAGAATCCCAGGGCATTGCCCACATGGGTGTGATCCCTTGATAATTGTCTAACAAATTCAGCATGTGTCCCCTGGGCATGACCATCTGCTGGGCACAGTTCCAGAACCCTGAGACATCTTGGGATTCCTGTGGTTTAGGAAAGACCTTTAAATACCAGCTGGTAGTTGTCTCAGTATTCTTCAAATAGTCCAGTCTTGTTTATTATTATTTAATTTTATTTTATTGCTGCTGTACTTGGAGAATAGTCTGGTCTTGAGGCCTTTTCACTGTGGTCTGTTCTGGTGAATGGCTCCCACCAGCACAAAGCAGAAGGATGACTTTGGTCTGTTGGCGGGACAGTCTTGAAAGAAGGAGCCAAATGTGTGGAAGTCTGTGGGAAGAGAGAGCCACCTAGCATGTCCCCACTGAACCAGTCAGCAGAAGGCCTTCCCCAGGAGGCCTCCAACAGATCCCTGAATGCCACAGAAACCCTAGGGGCTTGGGATCCCAGGACCCTCCAGGCGCTCAAGATCTCCCTTGCCGTGGCCCTTTCCATCATCACACTGGCCACAGTCCTCTCCAATGCCTTTGTACTCACCACCATCTTTCTTACCAGGAAGCTCCACACCCCTGCCAACTACCTGATTGGCTCCCTGGCCACCACCGACCTCTTGGTTTCCATCTTGGTCATGCCCATCAGCATCGCCTATACCATCACCCACACCTGGAACTTTGGCCAAATCTTGTGTGACATCTGGCTGTCTTCTGACATCACGTGCTGCACGGCCTCCATCCTGCATCTCTGTGTCATTGCTCTGGACAGGTACTGGGCAATCACAGATGCCCTGGAGTACAGTAAACGCCGGACGGCCGGCCATGCAGCCACCATGATCGCCATTGTCTGGGTCATCTCCATCTGCATCTCTATCCCCCCACTCTTCTGGCGGCAGGCCAAGGCCCAGGAGGAGATGTCTGACTGCCTGGTGAACACCTCTCAGATCTCCTACACCATCTACTCCACCTGTGGGGCCTTCTACATTCCCTCGGTGTTGCTCATCATCCTCTATGGCCGGATCTACCAGGCTGCCCGGAACCGCATCCTGAATCCACCCTCGCTCTATGGGAAGCGCTTCACCACGGCCCACCTCATCACAGGCTCTGCAGGGTCCTCGCTCTGCTCACTCCACCCCAGCCTCCATGAGGGGCACTCGCACTTGGCCGGCTCCCCTCTCTTTTTCAACCACGTGAAAATCAAGCTTGCTGACAGTGCCCTGGAACGCAAGAGGATTTCCGCTGCTCGAGAAAGGAAAGCCACTAAAACCCTGGGCATCATTCTGGGGGCTTTTATCATCTGCTGGCTGCCCTTCTTCGTGGTGTCTTTGGTCCTGCCCATCTGCCGGGACTCCTGCTGGATCCACCCGGCCCTCTTTGACTTCTTCACCTGGCTGGGCTATTTAAACTCCCTCATCAATCCAATAATCTACACTGTGTTTAATGAAGAGTTTCGGCAAGCTTTTCAGAAAATTGTCCCTTTCCGAAAGGCCTCCTAGTCTTATTCAGTGATGATTCTTATTATCTTTTGTGTGCTGTAACCTAATCAGGATTGTCTTTTTTTATTTTCTGAGATTTGGGTTAATTCACGATATATTGAGTCTTGGTTCAATCAACAGAATTGTTCTTCATTCTTTTTCCTGTTGTTTTCTTCTGAGCCACTAAAAACTGGAGAGCTGTTGGTGGGAGTGGGGTAGAAGACTGAAGACTTCACTTAGCATAATATTTTCTTTTTGAGACGGAATCTTGCTTTGTCACCAGGCTGGAGTGCAATGTCTCGATCTCGGCTCACTGCAAGCTCTGCCCCCCACCCAGGTTCAAATGATTCTCCTGCCTCAGCCTGCTGAATAGCTGGGACAACAGACATGTGCCACCATGCCCAGCTAATTTTTGGTAGAGACGGGGTTTTGCCATGTTGGCCAAGCTGGTCTCAATCTCTTGACCTCATGATCTGCCCGCCTCAGCCTCTCAAAGTGCTCAGATTACAGGCCTGAGTCACCACACCCGGCCTATTTTCTTTTTTTTACACAGAGTCTCACTCTGTCACCCAGGCTGGAGTACAGTGGTGTCATCTCAGCTCACCGCAACCTCCACCTTCAAGGTTCAAGCCATTCTCCTGCCTCAGCCTTCTGAGTAGCTGGGACTGCAGGTGCCCACCACCATGCCCAGCTAATTTTTATATTTTTAGTAGAGATGGGTTTTACCATGTTGGACAAGCTGGTCTCAAACTCCTGACCTCAAATGATCCCCCCTTCCTTAGCCTCCCAAAGTTCTGGGATTACAGGCATGAGCCACTGAACCTGGCCAACATAATATTTTCACAGTTCCTCTTTGTTGGAATAAATGTGATCTATGAGACTCCCTGTTGATACAGTTCAAGTGACATGTTGTCTGACTATAGAAAAGACCCCAGGCTCAAAGGGAAGGCTTTCTGATCTACCTGGAGCTTAAAGGAGGATGGATACGATTAATGACCTGAGCTGAAAGAGAATTTGGAGCCGGGATGGGTCTCCATTCTGTGTGGCACCTTGGTTGGAAAATAATATCCATGCATTTCTTGCACTGAGTCTTTCTTCGATTAAATCTCTCCCAGTCGTCCATGAAAAGAAAGTCAGTATTTGCAGTGCCAATGATATAGAGTGACTTGGAGAGAGATTCAGAGGTTAGGGGCAGGGTGGGTAGGATGATTGGGACCAGATTGACTACCCTGTATCCTTCCTTCTTCCCCAGTATCCCTACACCATCTTCAGGTTTGAAGTTAAAACTCATGATCACCCCATTGAGGTAGATTGATGGGCTTCAGATGCCCCCCAAGCTTTGAGTGGGACACCATTCTGAATTTTTTTTCTCAATTACTTTTTTACGTCTCTTTCTCATTGGAGCTCTGAAAATGCATTAGAGATGTTGAGTCTTATCAATATCAAATAAAAAGCTTGAGATGTCTTGGCCAGTAAAGTCTTTGGGTGATTTTTCCCCCCTCCCTGGATGTAGAAATTATTCAACTCGATTCAGTCTCTAGCATTTGTTAGGTTGGGCACCTACCACATGCCAGGCCCCATACCCCAGCCTTGGCACTTACTATCTAACAGGATGTGAGAAAGAAAGGATAGTGTGATGATTAAGAGCTCAGAGGCCACACTCAGTGGCTCACGCCTGTGATCCCAGCACTTTGGGAGGCTAGGGCAGGAGGATTGCTTGAGCCTGAACCAGCATGGGAAACATGGCAAAACCCTGCCTCTACCAAAAAATACAAAAATTATACAGATGTGGTGGTGCACACCTGTAGTCCCAGGTGCTTGGGAGGCTGAGGTGGGAGGGATCACTTGAGCTTGGGAGACTGAGGCTGCAGTGAGCCATGACCATGTCACTGCACTCTGGCTTAAGTGACAGAGCAAGAGCATATCCCTTAAAAAGAAAAGAAAGAAAGAAAAGGCTCAGGACCTGATGCCTCAGCTCAAATCCAAATGCAGCCAATTCTGGATGAAACTGGGCAAGTTCTCCCCTCCCCCCTCCTCCCTTACCCTCCCCTCCTTCCTTTTCAGACAAAGTCTCACTCTGTTGCCCAGGTTGGAGTACAGTAGCACAGTCAGGGCTCACTGCAGTCTCAACCTCCCAGGCTCAGGCTTCTGAGTAGCTGGGACCACAGGCTCGCACCACCATGAAAATTTTTTAAATTTTCAGTAGAGAAGAGGATCTCACTGTGTTGCCTAGGCTGGTTTCAAACTTCTGGGTTCAAGCAATCCTGCCTTGGCCTCCCAAAATGCTGGGAATACAGGCATGAGCCACCGCACCTGGCCTAGACAAGTCTCTTGATCTCTCTTTGTCTCATTTTCAACTATAAAATGGGAATAATAATAGATACGTTATTGTATAAGTTACTACAATGCTTGGCACAAGAACTCTTAAACTGACCTACTCAAAGTCAAACAGCAATATAAAAATAACAGCTGCTATTTATTAAGTGCCTATAATGTTCCTTGCATACATTTTCTCATTTACTTCCCGTCTTGATTTTAGAGATGAGGTAAAGAAACCTGCTTATGGGCTGGGTGTGGTGGTTCTTGCCTGTGATCCCAGCACTTTGGGAGGCTGAAGCAGGAGGACTACTTGAGCTCAGGAGTTTGAGACCAGCCTGGGCAACATAGGGAGACTTCGTCTCTAATTACAACAAAAATTAGCTGGACATGGTGGAGTACCCCTGTAGTCCCAGCTACTCGAGAGGCTAAGGTGGAAGGATCACTTGATCATCCCACCAGAGGCTGTGGCTACAGTGAGCCCTGATCATACCACTGCACTCCAGCCTAAGAGACAGAACGAGACCCTGCCTCAATAAAATAAAGAAAGAAAGAAAGAAAAAGAGGCTGGGCGTGGTGGTACACGCCTATAATCCCAACACTTTGGGAGGTCAAGGCGGGCAGATTACAAGGTCAAGAGATTGAGACCATCCTGGCCAACATGTTGAAACCCTGTCTCTACCAAAAATACAAAAATTAGCTGGGCATGGTGGTGGGCACCTGTAGTCCCAGCTACTCAGGAGGCTGAGGCAGGAAAATTACTGGAACCCAGAAGGTGGAGGTTGCAGTGAGCCGAGATTGCACCACTGCACTCTAGCCTGGCCACAGAACAAGACTGTATCAAAAAAAAGAAAAGAAACTTGCTTATGGTTATGTTATGTTGTTCCAGCAGAAGATGATGGGGCACTCAAGTGTGGCAGCAAAGTTGAAGCCAGCGTGGGCATCCCCCTCACTGGCCACCCCTTCGTCAAAGTAACAGATGACGACCCTGTTGGTGTTGGCCTGCTTGGCTGCATAGGCCGCCCCCCACCGCCTAAGGGAGGACTTCAGCGGACTGCCAAAAGCTGAGCCCATGTGAGATAGGAGCCCAAGAGAGGGGAGGTGTGACAAGGCCTCTTGGGGAAGATGGGACGGAGCAGAGGAAGCTAAGGAAGGCCACACCAGGTGGAGAAAAGAGCAGTAACAGAGCCTCGGAGACCTGTAATACTCGGTGGGGTCTCTGGACACAGAAAGAAGAATGAGAGCCAGGAATATGGGATGTCAGGAAGGAAAGGGAAAGGAGGGAGGCCAAGATTGAGGGGATGGTTGGTTATCCAGAGGAGTCTTGTGCTGATTTAAAGCTCATGCTGGATCTCATCCATGCAGCCCTGGACCACCTGCATTACAATCACCCAGGCAGGGCTGAGCACAGTGGCGCACTTCTGTAATCCCAGCACTTGGAGAGAACAAAGCTGGAGGATCGCTCAAGCCCAGGAGTTTGAGACCAGCCTGGGCAACATGGTGAAACTCCATCTCTACAAAAAAATATAAAAATTAGGCAGGTGTGCAGGCCGGGCGCGGTGGCTCACACCTGTAATCCCAGCACTTTGGGAGGCCCAGGCGGGCGGATCACGAGGTCAAGAGATAGATACCATCATGGCCAACATAGTGAAACCCCATCTCTACTTAAAAAATACAAAAATTAGCTGGGCATGGTGGCGTGTGCCTGTAGTCCCAGCTACTCGGGAGGCTGAGGCAGGAGAATTGCTTGAACCTGGGAGGTGGAGGTTGCAGTGAGCCGAGATTGCGCCACTGCACTACAGCCTGGCACCTGGTGACAGAGCGAGACTCTGTCTCAAAAAAAAAAAAAAAGTTAGTCAGGTGTGGTGGCATGCACCTGTAGTCTCAGCTACTGGGGAGGCTAAGGTGGGAGGATTGCTTGAGCTGGGGAGGTTGAGACTGCAGTGAGCTATGATCATGTCACTGTACTTCAGCCTAGGAGACAGAGCCAGATTCTGTCTCAAAAAAAAAAAAAGGCCAGGTGCAGTGGCTCACACCTGTAATCCCAGCACTTTGGGAGGCTGTGGCAGGAGGATTACAAGGTCAAGAGATAGAAACCATCCTGACCAACACAGTGAAACCCCGTCTCTACTAAAAATAAAAAAGGTAGCTGGGCATGGTGGCACATACCTGTAGGTCCAGCTACTTGGAGGCTGAGACAGGAGAATTGCTTGAACCTGAAGGCAGAGGTTGCAGTGAGCTGAGATCATGCCACTGCACTCCAGCCTGGCATCAGAGTGAGACTCTGTCTCAAAAAAAAAAAAAAAAAAAAATCAAAGATGAACTTGTTTCTCATGGCCATGGGGAAGCCTGTGTTTGGAGCCTGTCTCCTCTTCCTGCCCATCCTTGAGATGCCCCTAATTTCTTCACACTTAGTCACAGACACACACAGCGTGATGGGGACGATGCTGGGAGAGGGTAGTGCAGATTTCTGTCTAGCACAGGACTCTGCTAATTTCTGGTGCATGTAAGTGGGCAGACACGGCTGAGTACCCACCCTGCAGCCAATCCTGTTCCCTGGTCACAGGACCCTAGGTCCATTTTTTTGTTTTTTTTAAGGTGAGGTCTCACTATGTTGCCCAGGCTGGAATACAGTGGCTATTCAAAGGTGTGATCATGGCACACTACAGCCTGGAACTCCTGGTCTCAGGAGATCCTCCTGTCCCTGCCTCCCAAGCTAAGACTACAGGCACGCACCATCACACCAGGCTTCAGGTCAGCTTAAATGGCAGTGGGGCCCAGGCTGTAAGAGGTGAATCCTGAAGTTGGACTAAATACTTGGGCACTGTGCCCCACCTCTGCTTTCTCAGCCAGGCTCCTTGGGGTGCATGTCACTGTCCCATGATCGCTCATCAGACTAGAAGCACTGCAGGCTATTTCATTGATCTTTGTACTCTTAGTACCTGGCACACAGCCAGTGCTCAATTAATGATAACAGCTAGCATCTATTGAGCTCTTACTGTGTCCCTAGATACTGCTCTCAGCATTTTATGAGCATTAACTCGTTTAACCCGCATGAAGTTGGTCCTATCACTATCCTCCAGATGAGGAACTAGAAGCCCCAAGAAATAAAATAATTTCACACTGCTGATAATGGGTGGAACCAGAATTCAAGACACAGTTGCAGCCCAGAATCCTCACTCTTAACCTCCAGTGGATATGGCCGGGGCCAAAATTGCATGTGGCTTTGAGGAAAGCATAAAGTAGTGAAGGAAGCACTGATCTGGGAACCAATGAACCTGTCCCAGTTTTTCCACTGTCTTGCTTCATGTCTCTGCCTCAGTTTGTTCTGTACAATGTGGATAATAATAATGTCAACCTCAGGGTGGCTGGGGCCTGTGCTCAGCTCTGTAGCATTCAAACCGGGGGAGGTTATTGAATGAGACTAGGCCACAGTTAACTTATAAGGAATTAACTTTAAAAAACCACACACACGGCTGGGCGTGGTGGCTCACATCTGTAATCCTGGCACTTTAGGAGGCTGAGGTGGGCAAACATCTGAGGTCAGGAGATTGAGACCATCCTGGCCAACATGGTGAAACACCGTGTCTAATAAAAATACAAAAATTAGCTGGGTATGATGGCTTGTGCCTGTAATCCCAGCTAATTGGGAGGCTGAGACACACACAAAACACACACAGACACAGACACAGACACACACACACACACCCCACAATGCAACTATGAAGGCCATCAAAACAAGCCTGTGAGCCAGGTTTGGCTGCTAGGCCACCAGTTGTTGGTAACCTCTGTTCCTCCACAATGATCCTCCCCATGTTATTGACTAATTTCTGTTCTCCATACCAGAGCTGGATCCCTCACGGAGCTCACAGTTCATCTGGAGACCAAAGTGCATGAAACAGATTACAAAGCCAGACAGCCTGTCCTCCACCAAGGCTGTGCTGCACCCCACTCCTTCAGACTCCTCAGGTGCATGCAAGCCACTTATCACAGGAAGAGGTGGACTGGCAGGGAGGAAGGCAGAAGTGTCCTTTTTACACGGTCACTGGCAAGGATAGATGTGAGTAGTCCTCCACATCTGAGAGTCTTAGGATAGTGCATTTACCTGTTTCCCTGGGCCCCCTGTATTTTTCTCCCAAGGGGAGGAGT